TGCATAATTATGATACCAAAACAATCATTTTCTCTATATAGTATTAAAGGTAACAGTTGAAAGTGAGAAACCCAAGACTTCTAACATGAATGTGGTTTCCAGCATCCCAAGTAATATTTCTGATTCATTTTTCTCCCTGTTGATTCACATTTGGCTGAATGAACATGATTGGCTATTTTGCAATTGTAGAAATACTTCTTCACTGACCAAAAATAATTTGTTGACTTTGTTCAGACTAACCTATAACTTGACCAAATTTCTTGCCTTTTTCAAATGGAGTGGTAATTATGTAGGCTCAGTCTGTATTTATGAGAGCTTTTTAAGTATGCTTTCCTTAGTCTGAGACTAGTTTTCTGAAAAATCAGTAAAGCACAGAACACCTCAGGAGTAGAGAGGATGAGTACCTGGGATGATACCCAGTATAAATCTCATAGACTAGAAAGAATCTGATGACCAACATGAGGCTTGTCAAACGTCAGGCTTTCCTAAGACAAATGCAGAAGGTTTCCATCTGTTTGATACCTGCTGTTTACCCCTGACTCTCACCAAATTGTCTTTGTTGTTTCCAAAATTCACAGTTTAAAGAACTACTTCACTTTTTCTTGGAACTTTGAGGGAGGACATTTCTCTCTTTCACTTTCTTCAAATTCCCCATGAGTTCTACTTATTGTTTAGCATAACCCGAGAATGCCACCTGAATATGTGTTTTACAGCCAATAACTGTATATCATTCATGTTTACACACTTTGTATCAGAAACAAATGGAGGGCATCCAACTGATGCAGTCGTCTACTATCACCACAATCAGCATAATGCCAATACTGTATTGACCCTGCCTTGCACTTGGGGTGCTAAGTAGAGCCGAGCCATGTAGTAGTCTAGTGCCCTCTTGTGGTTTTCAAACTGAGTCTTCAGCTTTTTTGTAGAATTAAAGCTATTTGTGGAATCACTAGTTTAAGGCTACTATGGCATTACCTCTTCCTTTTTTCTCTCAGTTATACCACCCTGCAAAGCACAAGAAGTAATGGTAGACACAGCCTACTCTGAGCTAAGAAGAAGCATTTGGACTGTGGAGACTAGTTCCAAGTATTGGCATTTGTCAGGGAACTTCAGAACTTAGTATACTTCAAATACATAATATACAATAAATGTTGATGAAAAATCTCTTCACCAACTTAGTGAGATCTTCCAATTTGCTTATTCGCTCTTCCACTCATTCATTCAACTCTGTCCTCCGCAGCATGGTTTCAAATATTGTTCTTGGTATATTTTATCTGAAAACAAGAGCGTTATGATGGTTCACAAGTGATCACAAAAGCTTAAATTTATTATGTGAGTAACTCAAGTAACCTACATGGTTCCAGTAAAACACTAATGAATGCTATATATGCTTGTTTAATATAAGAAAGAGCTTCTTAATGGTTGCAGTTGTGTGACACTGGAACATGTCTGGGGATAAGCTTCTAATTCCTTGAGGGTCAAGCAATGATAGATTAATTTTTTATATAGAAACTTTACAGGTAAGTTCCTTTATTGGACTAAATAAACTTTGAGAAAAAGCTTAGATTTTTAGAACTTATGGAGCCCACAAATACATTCAAGAAAGAACATTGCTTCATTCAAATGGTGAGTTACATAATTCCCATGATTAAGAAGTCTTCTCTAAGGAACTTTCCTAGAATAGTGCAAGTTTGTATCTACCCTCACATTTCTAGGAAATCAAAATGTGTGTGGGTGCTTGTGGTGGGGCATGTATGGGTTTATCCAAATCCCTTTTTATTAATAAGTTATTTGTTTCTAATTTTCTGGATTGTGATAAGATCTTTGGCTTTTCTTTTTCAACACTGATATCCTGTCACCTAATTACTTTTCATTTGTAACCAGCCTGTTACATTTATGTCTAATTGTATTTAATGTCAAATTATACACTGGAAGAATATTCGTGTTTGATTAGTTCTGGCTATATGACACATGATGAATATATTGAGACATATATAAAGTTACTTACTTATAACATTAAAAAAGAAGTTGGAAGGGTGCATGCCTGTAATCCTAACACTTAGGAGGCTGAGGCAGGAGTATTGCTGTGACTTCAAGGCCAGCCTGAACTATATAATGAGACCCTGGGTCGAAAAAAAAAAGTAAAAAATTTAATTCAAGAACACTATTAAAGAAAAATAAGAGCTTCATTGTGTCACTCCAAATTCCAAGTACAATGAAAGTCACTGTTCTTCTGTAGTTTATACCAACTTAGAAGGGAGGACAGAGGAGATGACTAATATTCTTTCCAGTGTAATTTCTTATTCTTTTAAAGAGGTGAAATGATTTCAGACATCGAGATTGATTAGATTTGTGTTACTATGGCTGTTTTATTTATATGTACATTTAGTCAGTGTGATCTTCTCTGTGTTTTTTCTTCTAAATCTTAAACCTTATGGGGGAAATGGCTGATCCACTGTGTCTTCCAAAGGCTGAAACTAGTTTAAAACTAGAAGCCAATGAATCATGATCCTCTAGATCTACAGTTTGACAGTGGTTAGAAATCTCTGAGCCTTTCCTTCCCTCTCCACCCGAAGGCTCCATCACACTTACTGCATTGAGAAAAGGGTGGGAAGTGGTTTGAGGGTTTTGCATGGAAAGAAGTGATCCATCCTCAAAGGTCTGGGCTTTGAGGAAAGTTCAGATCCAGGACCTACGCTGGTTTTAAATTACTCTCTCTTCTTCCTTACAGGGTTCATCTAGCCTTCAGCCTGGCAGAAGACCTAATTGCTCATGGTATAGACCTTGCTGACAGCCTTGGGTTATAACAGAAGAATTCTCATCCCATCTTGTCTCTATGGGAGAGACACACTAGATTGTCACCAGTTTGTGAAATAAACCATCCACCTGGTTTATGGAACCATTTCAAAGCCAGAAAATTCAGCCTTTCTCAGCTGTATCACACGAGAAAGAAGAAACAGTGTTTTTTTTCCATATGGATTTGTCACACATTAACAAGAGGCATTTGCTCTCTGTCTCAGCCAAATACTTAGATTTCTGAAACATATGAGGAGATGTGCTTGGCTTAACTTGCTAAGGAACTGGAAATGTACTTCATACAGCAAATCAAAACTGAAACTGTGTTGGGTCATTCTGTCCTACCTCACTGGAGAGACATCCTTGCAAATGGACAGCTAATCTCTTTAATGAGCAACACACACAAAGGCTTTTCTGGAGAAAGAGTCCAGTTTTTAACTGCCTTTTATTTCACAGCTGTGGGACACAAATTTTAGAGTGGGAAAGGATCTTAGAGATCATCAACCTCTTTCTTCCCTGTGGCCTTATTTTACATAAAAACACTGAGCCCTCAAGAGGCAAAGTGGCATTCAGTACCACACTCACCCAGGTCTTTTCACTCTTAATCTTCTTCTCATCCATCAGTTTTCATTATCTTTTCTTCTGATAATTCCCATTTCAGTGTATTTACTGTTGTTTTCTTTTTATACTTCTCACTCACTGCCCAAAAATACAGTTGATAAAAGATTGTGATTTCTTTCCTTCCATTCCCTCTGTGACAAAACTTCTATTAATGTCCAAATATTTTATCAGTCATCACTATTTTTATTAATCACCATGAAGTTAGTGTACAGGAAAATGAGACAAATCCTACTATAGGTAGTAAGGACCTGTGTCCTGGCCCCAGAGTCTTCATCCAAACATCTAAGGACACATCTTTTGCCTTACAAGGGCAAGAACAAAGTTCCACATTTGGTTCCTTTCTTTTACACACGTATAAAAAATTTACCTATCAAAAAAGTAATACTAGAAACACAAAACGAGTCAAGGAGAGATAGATGCATAGTCTTCACATGGTCTTCTCAAAGAAATCAGAGAAATGCAAAGTTCACTTTCAGATGGGATCCAGAAAGACTAGTCTGTCAATGCCTCTTTGGAATCAGAGACTGCCATATTTAAACATGTTCCTGAAACAATGTCTACAGATAGAGAGCCTAAGGCTGCTCACTGCCAAAACCCTGCATTGGAATCCATTTTGCTACATACAAAAGCCTAAGCCCTACTTTATTCATGAAATAATGATAACAGTATTTACTTTTTAAGATTGTTGTGATTAAAGGAGCTATGACATTGTAAAATAATTAGTACAGACTAGCTCCTCAACATGTGTTATGTGCCATCTTTTTTTCTGAGAGCCATCTAAACTTCCTAGTGTTTTTATTTATGGGTTTTTTAGTAGAGGAACTCAAATAAATTATTTAGAAGGAGTTCTTAACTCAAATGAATTATCCTAGAAAGTTCACTATCTCTGGAGTGATTTCTACCCTTAAGAGTTCCTACAGTAACTCCTATAAGAAGATTAGTAGAATGGGTAGGGAGGCAAAAAGAACTATGGTAGTGAAGGTAAATATTAGCCACAGTAGTCAGGGTACTTGTGGGCAGGCAGGAGTGTGTGTATGTGTGTGTGTTTGTGTATGTGTGTGTGTGTGTGATACTACCTGTGTATATGCACATTTGTCATTTCTCATCTACCTCTTAAACTTGCTCCCCCCAAAAAACATTTTTCCATTTCATTGGAACGTATTTTGTTTTCACTAAACCAAAGTTAAGGGCAAATTCTAGGAAGAATTGGATATACTAGGTGATTAAAGTCACTTACACACCTATAAGGGCAAAGGATGCACAACAGAACATGGCACGGATGTCCACCCTTTCCCAAGGGAAGCAGGATTGGATGTCTTTGCCTCTACCTTAGGCTTGTGATTTCATAGAGCCGAGCTCCTGGCTCCTCCTCAATCCTGCCTGCACCAGGTGTGTGTGGTCACTGAGAGATAAAGTGGATTTCTGCCTTAACCTTTGAAGGTACAAAACTTCTACCCATATAAGATCAATGAATCCTGAAGGAAGCAGAACCTTCTCCTACATGTCCCCATGACAAGAGAGAGAGAATCAAAGTAGGACATAAATGAAAGTGAGAAATGAAGTTCTGCCCTTTCAGGTGATCCTTCTGGGTTTATCATTTTATTTGATGTCTTCTCTAGGTGCTCACTAAAAGCTAAGGACACTGTTGATGTTGTATAAACTCACCTACTGATAGAAATGGTAAAGGAATACACCCAGCTAATGTGAACCAAGGGCTTGATGTCCACCATGATGCCCCCTTTAGCAGTATGTAGCTGTGGTGGTAGCTGAGTCTTCACTCAGGCAGTGTTTTCATTCATGAAATAATGGTAACCCCTTTTTGTGATTTTGTCTTGAGATCAGAAGAATAATGAAATTCCAGTGCCCGGTTTTGCAAGTTATCTCTGTATCTCTCACTTCTAAAACTGAAGCTTGGAGAAGCTTGATGAAGCTTGTCTAAGACCACATGCCTTGTTTAGAGCTGCACTGTGCATCTGGGACTGTTTTCCTCCGTCGCCTGCAAAGAAAATCATATGGCAATCAATGTAAAAATAGATCCACTAATAGAATCTGATGAGCAGATAGTTTATAAGTGGAAAACAATAGAAAGTTTGTCTGGAATCCAATTCTGAAACATATCTTGCCCTCCTCCCAATAAACTGTAAGTAAAAGACCTGAAGAAAAAAATGATCTAAGATAGTATTTCATCAATTTTAAGGTACATAGAAAACATCTATCCAGATTTTCATTCAGTATGGCTGGAATGTCAATTAGCTATTGCGTTTTCAACAAACTCCCAAGTCGTCTTGGAGATGCTAGGTTACGCTGTACACTCAAAACAGTTAGACTCTAAGATATACCTGAAAGCATGAAATAGATAGCTCAGCTGGGTATAGTGGAATGCACCTATAGTCCCAAGTACTAATGAAGTGGAATCAGGATCATTTGCTCTTAAAATTTAATGCTGTAATGAATGTCTTTGTGCCAGATGCTTTGCAGGTTCCTGAGGTAGGACTGATGGAGTTTAAGAAAATGAACCTCATTTACTTCCATAGTAAATGAATAAATAAATGAACCTCATTTATTTCCATAGTATTTTCTTTTGCTGGTGGTAATATGGATCAACAGAAGCCATTTGAAAAAGATTTTCTGTCTCATCTCACATATACCTTCATATCTAAAAATGTTGTCTTTAGAACACATGTTCAATGCTTCATTGTATTCCTCATGCCACTGAAAATGGTGACATAATTTTACCTCGAGGCTGATTGAGTGTATGCCCCTGATTTTGGAAGCTACAGGGCATCAGCTGTCCATGGTTGGAGGTCCCCCAGATTCTAGAGTCCTGAGCGTAATGTAATACCCATTTTTGCTTCCCTGACAAAACCATTAGTACTTCCTACTAGCTTCCAGGTAGGATGCAGTGGACGGGGAAAACTCAGGAAAACTCGGGCTTTAATAGCAGCTCTACCTGTTCCTACCTGCAAAAATTTGAATGTGCCACTTGCTCTTGCTTTGTAGAAATTTTAAAAAGTACTGCACATTTTGCAGAATGCTCATGAGGAGTTAATAAAATAGAGAATGGGGCACATCTGGAACACTTCCTGACTGTATGGAATATAGATGACACTGGAGCCATGTTTAATTTTGAAAGGCATTTTTGAATATTAATGATAGCATGTGAAAGAGGTGAACACTGTCTCTTTTTTATTATTATAGTTTTCTTACCACTTTCCCCCACCACAGATTTCTTTTCATTTTTTTCACACACATATTCATTATAAACAAACCAACATAAAATAACTCTACGGAGGAGTCAAGTAACCAAAATCTATGCCTTGATCAAACATTGCAGGATAAGACTTGTTCTATCACATGGTTCTTTCAACATGTCTCCTTAAAATACCCAGTAGTTGGCACAGCACCTGCCTGGCAAGCACAAGGCCATGAGTTCAATTCCCGGTACCGGAAAAAAAAAAAATCAAAAAACCAAAAAAATAAAAAAATAAAATACCCAGTAGTGTTATATGGTCAAAATGCTTTTCTAAATGTAGATGCTATTTCCACCTCTCAAATGGATTCTAACATGACACAGTGCAGAATTTCATCTTGTTCATGTCATTATTTAAGCTTATTTAGGCAATAAAATTCTGAAATTGGTCTTTATAACTCTCTTGAAAAGTGTAATTAGGTAATCTCATCACTTTGTAAGGTAATCGATATAATAATACTTTGATTTATCATTCTACCAAGTGTACAAATATCAGAACATGTCATACACAATAAATATATATATATACATAATTTTATTTATCAATTTAAAAATAATAATCAAAATTTGTTCTGTGGTGATTTCCTTATCTGTACAGTAAGGAAAATAATACTCTATGAAGAACTGTTATTAACTTTAAAAGTTTTAAAATGTGTGAAGTACTCCATGTGGGAGCTAGCACATAAATAAGGCATCAAAAATCAGCACTGATTGCATTTTGTCTGTATGTATGCCTTTTTCTTTTTTAGACATCAAAGCCTTTGGAGACTTTAATTCAAAATTGTACTTTTTAAGGTATCACTGCAAAATTTAGAATTTCGTGTAGTTATTGTACAGAGAGAAATACCAGGTGTAAGCTCATTTGAATTGGCACAGTAATAAACTCCAAATGGAAATATATCCGTGTTTGCTCAGCCTGATCATCAATACTTATTCCCAATGTTTTCTTCTCACTGCAAAAGTGCTATCCTCGCTGCTGTCAATTTCAACACTGTGTCCATCAAAATCTTGGGGGAGTCCTGCTTTCTGTGCTTTTCTTTCACTATCTGTGTATTTTCATTTGTTTCAAGCAGCTGGGGATTTAGCTGAGTGGTACAGGTCCTTCCTGGCAAGTGCGATGTCTTGAGTTCGATTCCTGGTACCAGAAAAAAAAAAAAGACATTTGTTTCAAGCACACTCTTTAAACCATCTGTTTCTAATTACTGACCTATGTTTCAGCTTAAATTCTCTTTAAATTTTGTTATTTTTGAGGGTAGATGAATTATGACTGCAAAATGACTAAGAGTGCTCCATACATTTGAGTTATCAAGGAAATCATCAGATTAGGAAAAGGAAATATAGAGGCATGTGTCAATAAACAACACATGAAATCAAGCACAATGTTGGAATGGAGTTGAAATGGTTTGTGAAAGCCAATGATATTGTTTTGTAATAAAAATTGGAGAAAAACAAACTCTATTTTGTATGATGACAAATTCAAAATGTGCTTGGACAAATATACAAATACATGCATACGATCCGCTGAATGGTGTATGAGTTAGCTTTGTGGTGCATCACAAATCATCCCAACACTTAGTGGCTTAAGACAACAACCACTTATTTAGATTGTTATTCTGTAAGTTGGTAATTTGAGTTGAACTCAGTTAGATAATACTGCTGGTGTTTTTTGGGGTCTCTCCGTAGCAGCATAGTTGGACTTTTAACATGATGGCTCAGGATTTGTAAAAGTATACAAATTAAAGTGCCAGGACTTCTTAATGACTGGGCTCAGAAGTCCTGCACTGTTACTTCTGCTGCATTTCCCTGGTTTAAGCAAGTCATAGGTTGGTCCATGTTCAATATGGGAAAGGGCTACACAAGTGCATGTACATAAAGCACCATGGCTTCCTGGGGCCATTTTTGGAGATCAAGGACTGCATTTCCTACACTGAACTAAAATTTCTCTACTTTTTTCTTGAGTCTTCTCTACATTCTGTTCAATAGGGAGTAAGTTCATTTTATATGACAGGCTTTCAGGTGATTTGAAATAGTTCTTATGTTTCCCCTTCCTCCCAAATGCCAGGGGAACATGTTCTCACTTGAGGAGTGATACAGTTTTGAATTCTCTAAGTGTGTGGTTAACATCACTTGCATTTGCCCCGAGTTTATCAATGCCCAGCTGATATGGTGGCATCCAGCACAGAGCATGACAGTTCAGATGGGAGAGATATATGTAGCAGGCAGAATAATGGCTCCCCAAAGACATCCATGCCCCACTCCCTGACACATGTAAATATGCTGCCTTAGATGGCCAAGAAGCTCTGTAGATGTAATGAAGTTTTCAGATCTGGAGAACATGTAATTTTCCCAGATTATCTAGGTAGGTACAATGAATCTTTAAAAATGAAAAGCTTTTCCTTGTAACAGACAGCAAGAGAGAAAGACAGAGAGACAGAGAATGAGAGAAATAGAGACAGAGACAGAGACAGAGAGATAGAGAGACAAACAGGGAGAGAGAGAGAGAGAGATTCAGTTTGCCATTGTTGGCTTTAAAGATTGAGGAAGAGAGCCATGAACCAAGGGATGTAGTGACTCTAGAAGCTGCTCTAAATGACCCTCAGCTTACACTCAGCAAGAATACAGGAAACTTGGTCCTTTAAATCTAAGGAATGGAATTCCAACAACAACTGGAAAGAGCAGGAAATGGATTCTCCCATGCAGTCCCCAGAAAACAATGCACGCTACTGACACCTGGATTTTAGTCCAGTGAGACCTGTACTGCACTTCTGACCTCCAAAACTATTAAAAAACCATATTGTTTTTAAACTACTAAGTTAGTGATGAGTTATTACGGCATCAATAAAAATGAATATGTATTTGAAAAGAATGATAAGCTATTCTGTATTTTTGGAGAGAAATATGACCCAGGCAGGCTCAGCTTTTATGGCAACAAAATTATTAATTTATGTGAAGCTTACATGCAATAAAACCACAGGGTCTTTTTTCACATAAACAGCTGTGATTATGAATGCGTTTCCCTTTAATGATCAAATGCAGAATGGTACATTTAACCCAGCTCATTTTCATGATGTTAGATTCCGTCTATCTTTCCATCTTATCAAGATATTTTGCAGTTGGTCTCTGTCATCCAAATGCTTCAACCACCCCCTCCCTGTTCTGGGTTGTTTCAAGACTTGATCAGCCCATTGGTCACCATGCTCTGCAGGGTCCTTCTGCCACCCTGGGCTGATGCTGATCCTTCCACCTGTATACTCATGCCCTTCCCTGTACTCTGCTTTTTGAAACTCTGCATGTTTTTCAAAGTGCAGCTCAGATTCCATGCCTCTCATGAAGCCTTGTCTGATTATACAGCAAGACATCATTTCTTCCTCAGTCTGCACCATACAAGTAGCTCGTTTGTGCTGCTGATATGGCACAAATTCAGCTAGATGATAACTATTTGTCTTTCCTCCTAAATTGTAGGCCTTTTGAAGACAAGGATTGTCTTTTAAAATTTCATATCCCCTAAAGCCACTGGCAGGTTGCCTAATATAACAGGTGCTTTATGGAAAACAATAATCCATTTAGCAGGTCTTAATAGAGCCAAGATGTAGCAGTCTAAAACATTCATTTTTGCTTTAAATGGGTTGAGAAAATATATATACAAGCAAGTACATATTGCAAACAAGCAATTTGTTACACAAAGAAGCAGAGGTTCTGTGGGAAAATTATGACTCAGAGCAATGTGTGTATACTTTATTGCTTCT